TTAAAATATAAATTTCAAAATTTCAAGTCTCATATCGTAACTTATAACTTCTTAGTAAATTCTTATTCTGTGACTTGTTCTGTGATAATTACTCGTGTAACTTCCTCATAGTTCCAAGGAAAATTCAATATTTGTTGATGGAAACTTGAATTTGACTAGAAAGTAAAAAAAAAAAAAATTACAAAACGCAAGTCATTGCGTGTCTCATATAATGTTAGATTTGCAGTGCAAATCTTTGGGCAATTTGGGCAAAAACTTCCTGCACATAATTTTGCCAGCTGCCTGGTAACTCGTGTTGACAATGCACACCATTTAGTTCATTTCATTTACCGTCATTCAGTTCATAACCGATTTCGACACGTAAGCTTCGTTAACAAATTTCAGGTGGAGCCCGTTTATTTTTCCTTTGTAGGTGTTCCTTTAAATAGTAACAAATGCACATTATTACACAAATGTGTTCAGTTTGAGTGGACGAGTACTAAACAGTTTTTATTTGATCTTAGTTCATTTTTTTCTAGACCTCAAGCTGTTTGTGTGATTCGTTTTCCGCCCACGTACTTAGTCCTTGAAAAGTTGACCTTTTGTTAATTTTTTTGGGAAGCCCCGCTTTGTAAGTTTACCCATGCATTTTACAATTCCTTAGTAACTACGGGGTAGCTTTTGATGGAGATTTTTTGTCCACACCCATTAGCCGTTCCCAACACCCACACAATTTTGCAGCCTGTGATTTTATTGACATACTTAACAATTTGAAAGTCATCGTTTGGTAGCACCTAGTTACTGACTATTCAAATCTGTTAAACATATTTGTGTACTTTTTGATTGCCCTCATTGACACTGCATATTTCAGGCGGGCTCATGTGTTTGTTGTTGTGGGTGTTCCTTCATAGCAACTACAAATGTACAACTAAGAATGTTATATAACTTGAAACTTTGAGTGCTGATTCATATTGCTTGTTATCACCTACATGTACACATGTAAATCCGCTTTTATTCATCACAAGCTACTTGCACCAGCAGATTGAGTTATCTTTAAAACTCACAAATACAGAGTAAGTTTAACAAAGTTGAATGAAAAGTTACCCATTGTGACGCTAGAACTACTGTACTCGTACTTTATAGGGAGGTATTGCAGAATGGAACCTTATTGATTTACATGCGTTAGTATTCTTCTTATAATTCATTAGTTATTTCTTGGAATGAAACCAAGGATGTCTCAAAAGCGCCGTGAGCACTATAGCTCACAAGTCCGAAGAAACCTGTAGAGAGGAAACAATGAGAACAAACTACAGTTTTAGAGGTGGGAGGAAAACCCCAGAAGAATATTCTAGGGGAAACCCACGGAATTCAGGTACCGGTAGGGACTGAAAACTCTTTCCACATGTTGAGTAGGGCAGGAATCGAACCCGGGCCGTAGAGGTGGAAGGCGAGGAAAGAACCACTGTGCCAACCTGACTCCCCAATATATTATTATTGGATTAACCCTTACTCTCTGAGGGTAGTTTACTGCATGTCAGTTGGTTATGCCAATGCCCTCCAGCTGCAGTTTATTGGAGGATACTTTGATGTAGCAGTGAAGGCTCCAATTGGCAGGAGTTGGAGGCCCTGGAGGGTGCCTGATACTGACCAGCTGGGGGCACTCACTTTGTTATCAGAGGACTCTCATTGTTCTCTGTGGCATGTATTGGAGTGCCTGTCCAGTTACCCTTGAAATGACATGGCAGATATTGGAGGGCCATGCAAAAAACATAGGTGATTTTCTTGAGGCACATATTGGCATGCGTTGGAGGGTCAAGTAGGGTAAGGGTTAAAGTAAAATGCTGGACAAATCTTTACCTATACAGTACTGACCAGTAAAGATTGAGCCTACATGTAATTCACACTTCATCTTCAGTTACATGTAAAATCATGCATGGTTCATGACCATTTTAAAATTTTGAACACAAAAATAAAGTACAATATGTACAATAGTTTTGCAAACCCGTTTTCTTCAGTGTGCGCAAGTGGTGTTAAGATGCTGAGTAGCAGATTATTCTGCCACCCACATGAAGTGCAGAAATAATCTATGTTATTCAAATGGCAGGAGCCCCCCCCCCCAACCCGGCACTGACCAAGATTTTCTAAAATAATGCCATTTTTTTCACTAGAGAGAGCCCTTCCACCCCCCCCCCGGCACACCCTCCGCCCCCTGGCTGTAACCTCTGTTGATCCACCCTCGATATATGTAGAGGAAGTACCGACCTATTTACAAATGAATCACATTGTTTTGAAATGACTTCTCTTCTCTCTGTTAGTTTCACTCTTCAGCACTGCGCCATCTCCAGCTTAAAAAGTCCTGATTTTCACTCAGAAAACTTTAATACACTCTGTATTGATCAATCTGTTGTTTGAAATCGACACCCTTTATCTCATGTTATCTTTTCTTTTCAAAGAAATCATGCATAAAGATTAGATTACAACAAATCACACATTAATCCTTTGGAATTTGTAATCCTTTACAATCATGATGAGGCTGAGGTATCGAATATTCGATCATCATTTCTTAAATTTCTTCTAAATCTGTCAAATATATCTACCATTCCCCTACCTCGGAAAAAAAATACATTGTTATGCATGATGTTCTTCGTATTGTTTTTTTCAAAAGCTCTTTTGTTAATTTTTGACAAGTAACTGCTGATCTGTGGCCGGTTTAGTCAAGGGCATGTAAAACTTGAACACTGCATTTTGAATATTTGTTACAATAATCAAATAGGCCTACTAAATTTATTCCAAAATGCACTGCACTCACTACGCGTGAATTTTGGGATGTAAATTTGTACGATTTCATTTTTCTTGAGTGAGATTTGTTAGATTTTTGTAATACTCCTGACTTTCTAAGTATGTAGGGCCTATGAGTTGTGGAACTAAAGTTAAGACTTTTTTTTTTAAATTTCAAAGGGGGAGGACAGTTTTTGTGTACATGCAGAGCTGTTAAAGTGTATAATGTTTGAATTTCTTTTCTAAACCAGGAACTGGTTGGTATATTATTGTTGTTTGTTTGTTTCTTCTTTTTTCCATCAACAATGCAGGCATTCTAATGTAGTGACTTATGAAGAATGTCAAAGACATCAGAACAATGTAACAAAATCCTTCTTTGTAAAAAAAATGGGATTTTTTCCCCTTTTTCTTTCTAAAAGAAAAAAATCCGGGTGTTGAGAAATGACAGACATAAAAGAGGGAACTTTATTTTTAAGGTGCCAAGATATTCCCTGTAACCAACAACCCGTATTTCGCTGGAATCCTGCCAAGTGCAACGATAATCAGCCATGGAGGGGCAAATGCACCTGAAACCAGTAAAATACCACAGAATTTTAAGCCAGTTTGGTATTTCAACTGGGCACACGGCCACGCGCACAATGAAATGGGTCATAGGTCGATGTTCGGGATAATCGAACACTCATCGAAGGCACATGAACACGCAAGGAGACAACAACGAGACGCTCGCACATTTAATGAACAGAATGGGCATTCGCGTAAAGCCTGGTTCATACTCGGCGCGAAAGCGAACGCGAATTTGTGACGTCTCGGCAAGTATTCGCGCTGCGAATTCGCAAAAGTTGAACACATTTCAACTCGGGCAAATTTCGCAGCGAATGTTTCCTGAAGTCAAATTCGCTTCGCATTCACATTCGCATGTAGTATGAATCAGGCTGAACATTTTTGTCAACGATTTTATCCCAATTACCTTTGACCTGGACTGCTTCATCAAGACACCGAACTGGCTTATTATAATGAAATTGACTGAAGCGGGATTAGAACCCGCAACATTTGGATAACCGTACCAGAGGCCGCAGGTTGAAATCCAGCCAGCTTCTTTGATCAACTTTACAATTAATTATGTGCACCCTACATGTACGCACTAAGTACATGACGTTTCCTCTGTATTTTATTTGAGCTACAGCAGTTACAGAACTTTTGGTCGCTGCTAAAATGGACCCAGGTCCACAAAGAACTTTTTGCTGTTTCATTTCACACTTACATGCAGTCAGCAAATCAGGGTCGAGGTCAGCAATCTATATAAGTTTAATATCCGTGTTTGTGAATTTCATTGAAAAGAAAGCTATTTACTTTTTCTTTTCAGGAAAGCAGGTTTACCTAAATCAACACCAATCAGATAGAGTTGGTTGAATTCATGTCAATTACTTTCTGTTACGCTTCGACAAAATTGTGTTCCCTCCCCCCCCCCCCCCTGTTTTGATAAACTTTTACGGTACTGTAAGTTGTGTGGGCAACTCTGAAGGTCAGAGGATCTTGTTCTATAACAATGAAAATGTGTAGAGTGAGGCCAAATCCATCACTTGACCTAAGTACGCTCATAACTGTTTGCTGACTTTGCTCATAACAAATGCATCTCTTGAAAAACTCTGGTATTTTTTTCCTGCGTTGTAACTACATGTACATTTATTATGGTACTGCATATTTGTGTAAAAATCCTATCCTTTTTCACCAGGCCATCGGTGTTTTTCTTGGTGTTTCAACAAATTCAAGAAGTAAACTTGTCTAATAAATAATGGGTTTCATACCTCCTGTTTTCATGGAGATGGCGAGATGTACCCAAGTAGGCTGTGCGAAGAATGGACACTGTGAACAATGGTTTTCCTAGGCTTTGCATAAGTACACTGCGGAGCTACAAGTATTGAAAGGAATCAAATAGACCCCTCTCACAGACAGCCATCTTGGTAGGCAACTTACAAACTTATTCAATGCCATCAGGTACGAGTGTGCGCAGTGTGCAAAATGTTCTAAACACGCAAATTGCTTGAAATTTCTTTGAAATACAGCGCAGCCGAAGGGCGTCACGCAAATTTGACTCCCATAATGCCGATGCATGTGACAATGAAATCTGTAGGTATAAGTGACATCATTTGCGAGATATCTATTTATGGGTATTCACTATTTGCATGCATTCCCTTTCTTCTACTGACACTGCATCAATTTTGTTTTCTTCTTTCTTCATTTAGCCCCTTTTCTCGCCACCTGATGATGAGGCGGACATGATGCGTAACTCTGACTCAACCATGACAACCTTGGTGTCTTCCCATGATTCATAGTACAAGAGCTCTTCGAGGCTGTAGCTTCATTTGTGGAATGCAGGTGGATTCAGAAAAACTCTGACCGTGACAAGCTGGTACGATTGCGTAGACTTCCCAGTGGACTTAACTCCTGCATAATAAGGTAACTGGCAATTCTTATTACATGTATTTAGCCCTAAAGGGAAGATACAACATTTGCAAACATCAAAAAACAAAATGATCAATTTACCATGAAATTCTTTACTGGACTGTTAGGGAATGACAGTCTAACGCATCCAGTACAATCATGGCTCCTGGTGCGCTGACATTTTTAAGTAAAGTGGTATTTTTGTATCAATTTCCAACGCTGGTCAGCCGACCAGCATTAGAGATAACTGGCTTTTTTTCAAAAACTGCCCCTACTTTTTCCTATTTAGTTATTTCACGAAACTTGGCGTCTAAACATCCTGGACAAAGATAGTAACAGCATTTACGACAGCTGTTTGTGTATGATGTTCTTCGTTCATGAAACAGTCATTGAATCACCCGCCATTTTGAAAATATTTTTGTCTGACTTTCTTGGAATCGTGTGGCAGCTCCAAAAACTCTGTCACGAGTAAAAATACCAATTCTTTTATTTCAAACACAAAGCCTGTAAGTGCATGTCTTGTATCAAAATTGATCAGGTGTACAATTAACAGGCTCCACAACGATCACGATTTGCTGGTAAAATTGGTCATTTTCAGTCGCTACATCACAACTTACGCACCACCTAAATTGACTGCGCAATTTAAGCCATAATTGATTGTGCTATTAGTTGGGGACTTACGCACTATGAATATTTCGTGAAATTGGCATAACTGAAATGTTGCAGAACGTGAAATGTTGCGCAACTTGCGCAATAAATTGTGGACTTATGCCAGTGAGTACAGTTTTGTGAAATCCGCTACTGGTACCTTTGATATAGTGTACATTGTGGCAAACATGGCCATTGACATCACTGATCAGCTGCACATTGTAACTTGCTTATATACATGTATATGACCTTGACTTAGTGACAGACATAAGTTTATGAAAAACTGAGGGAAAAATCATAAATTAAAGACTCTAAACTAACTCAAGCTGGTTGTTGGAAAGTGTGAATGGATTTTATAGATCTTGTTTTCTCCTGTACTTACAGACTACAGTTGCTTTTGAGGTTTTTTGTCAAAAAAGAATTGAACAAATTGGACACTTAATTATAACAGCTCTATTGCATTAAATTTTGATTTTGAATTTTAGCTGGCTAATTTATGGAGAATCTCTTCCTCCATGACTGTTCCAAAGTGTTATCTCTAGGTCTGCAGAATATTCAGTATTTACAAAGGAAACCCATAAACTTCAATCAAAGTTTGTCAATCATCATTCGATGTGGAGCCATGCACCTGTAATACACACACTCTGTGGCGAGCCTCATGAATATTAATGAATCAACTGTAAGGGAACCACATGGGGAATCCCCTTCTGTCATAGTGGACTGTACCATTGTTCCTCAAGAGGTAGGGACTGTCCCTCTGTGTAGTGAAGCAACTTTATGTTAACTAATTATGTGGCCTTCAATTAGTGGTTCCTAATCATAGGCATTTTGCTCTGCGTTGAAAGACAAACCAGCATTATTGTGTATTTGTTAGTTAGTGGAGTAGTTGATGATTGCTCACGGGCTTCGCTGGTAATTTGGAGTCATTTTTGACAAGTTTTTATCCCATATTAACAGTGCCTGTTGAGGCCTCCTAGTCGCACAATCAGTGCTGAGTTCGTTGGATTAGAATCTTTGAGGTGTATGCATTGTACCGCTCATGCCCTCTGCATCCGCCAGGAGAAGATATCCGTTACGGAAATTTACATGCATACATTGTATGCGTCGACAAAGTCGGACACCTCCCTAAAACGCCCGCTTTGACCCCCGCATTTGAATCTTGTTGCTGGATCGGTCTGGACGGCGATGCACAAGGGCTATCGTGAGCATTTGCAGTTTGTTTTCAGGTAAGAGCAATTATTTTATGTAGCCATATCTGCAGGTATTGATGAGTTATGTCAAAACTCTCAAAACACAATTAATGCCAACGAGTATACTCTTCAATAAATGATTGTATTGACAGGGTTGTAATGGCGTCAGTCAGATGTCCTTATCAGTCCATCTCAAGCAGTCCAATCTCAAGTCAAGTCACAAGCTTTTCAAATGAACTCGGACAAACGCAGTCGTTTGTCCTCGGTCATCTCCTGTTGCTTGTGAGTTGTGACCAGACTTTTTGCAAGATTACTGAACTGTCTACAAGTCTGGGTTTTTTCCTTCATATCTACTAAAATGAGGCCCAAAATTTGTCAAAAGCAAGTTGAACCAGCACATTGTTCATCAGTGAGTTGCTGTGCAGAAAAAAAAATCATATTCCTTAATTTTGTTTGCCTTCAAATTTGTAGTACAATATCTTTACTGTGTGTTTACAAATTACAAACAATCAACATCCTGTTATGACAGGGGCTGTTATAATGCAGCTTGCCTGCATGGATGCCTCAGGAATGTGTTGGAAAATTACCAATTTAGAGAGACCACAGTTACCAAAAATTTCGTGGTTGAGGTGCCAAGTGAACTGATATTGATCTGTACCGTACGGTTCTGGAGGTGAGGGAAGTGAATTTTGATGTCATCGTGCTGTAGAATATTATCTAGCTTTGACTAACTCTAACATACCTGAATCCATCAAAATCCACACCCCTGTTTTGGAGTATTTCGGCGGATTCGGGATGCCTCCATATTGAACAAATTGGGGGATTTTGATGGATTCAGGACAGTAAGCCTAGCGGTACTGCAGGATTTTGATGGATTCAGGATACCTCCATATTGAGCAGTTGGGGGACTTTGATGAATTCAGGATCTCAGCAGTTAATAACTCCTTTGCTATATGTTTTGTGTGTCTGAGGTACCGGTATATGTTCTACACTGGTGGATTCTGATGGACTCAGGACACCAACATTTTTGTTGCATGAAAAAATTGATGGATTTTGGGGGATTCAGGATGCTTTTTAGTAAAAATAACCAAGGGGTTAGGGTTAAAGAAGAAACATATCAGTCACATACATGTAAGTTTGAGTGACATTGTTGACATCAGACTCTTTCTGTTGTTTTTTGTGTGGGATTTCCCGGTTATCTTCTACAAACAAGTTGGTTGTATATTGGGGTTTCTCTTTGACGTGTGGTTTCCTGAAGGGAATAATAATAGGAGGAACACGCGACCGTACTTTTCTGCATACTAGGAATTGGAGCAAGGAAGGAAGGCAAAAATCTGTGCCAAAGCATTTGGACTGTCCCAAAGTTTTTCTTTCAACTATTCCTTCCGCTGTGGTGAAACCAAGGTTGAATTTCTGTCATATTTTTATATCATTCCTTTTCTCTATTTCAACAAGGAAGGTGGTTCTGTCATTTTTTTTTTTTTAGAATAGAGCGGAAGGGAATATTTTGGATGAGTGTTATCAATTTTAGGGCTTATTTCTTAACTTCGAAAGAAATTAGGAAATCAATGAGATATTACTTAGAAATGTTAATATCAACATGGAAAATTGGAGATGTGAGGGGAAGGGATGCACCAAGTTTTTCTTTCATTTTTTTTCTAAACATTTGAGGTTGTTATGTTAACTCCATTATTCTGATGTCCACATGCAATAGGAAAATTTTTGATGTTTGAAAATTCAGTGACAGACTTGTCAATGGTTTGGCTATACTTGTACTTCATACACAATCACAATGAGAAGGGACAGTAGATGAGGCTGTGGATTGGTTGAAATGGGTTGAGATTAACCCTTACCTTCCTGAATCCATCAAAATCCATACCCCTGTTTCGGAGAATTTTGGGCGGATTCAAGATACCTCCATTATTGAAAACTGGGGAAATGTTGATGGATTCCGGTGGCACAGCAGGGGAATTTTGATGGATTTGAGGATTGTAAGCCTAGCAGTACTGCAGGATTTTGATGGATTCAGGATACCGGTACCTCCATACTGAGCAGTCACCAACTCCAACATTTTTGGCGTGACATAATTGGTGGATTTTGGCGGATTCAATCGATACTTTCTAGTAAAGATACCGAAGGCTTAGGGTTAATTAAAGTTACGGTTTTGTTCAAATGCATGAATGCATTAGGATGAAGATTAATGCTCTTCTCTGAACTATAATAAATTCCGCTTTGGAGAAAGATTGGAGCCCATACATGCCTCTCCTATTCCTTGGCCACATATTTACCCATTCCCCTTGTGATTCTGAACTCCACCAAAAACTAAACTTCAACAATTGGAATTTCGTCTGAGCAATGAGAAAGCAATTTCAACGCACCGACAAAAAGAAACCCCCCTGTGATTTTGGCCATTGTCTATTCCGACCAAACGTCACAGGTCGACAACTGAAGTGATGTCATAGTATTGATTCAGTAGGGCATGTCATTGGACAGACCCAGAACTGAATTTTAACTTCCTGGTGTACATGTACGTGTACGTGTACAATGTACATGTAGAGCGCTGGGATAATAAATAGGCAGAATGATGTATATATCGTGGTGATAATGGTGACAGCGTGCAGTACCAGCAGGGTCGCAAGATCGGTAAATATTGGTTTATTTTCTTGAGTCTGTATTTGAGCTTGCCAGGGGCAGTTCTCCGAGTCTTAGCTTCAGAGTGAAATTGCGGATTTGATCCTCAGGCAGGGTTCATGTGCACGATGCAAACTGTAAGTTTCTTATTATTTTCGTTTACAATTGTGAGCTACAATCTTTGACTTTTGTACAAATACAGTATGTTATATAACATGTCTAAATGCACTCTATGCACAAGATAAAGGGCAACATTTCACGGAGATGTTGCGCACAGAATTTTGCTAAGCATTGAAAATATCTGCTAAGCCGAAACAGGACACCGGCTAAAATATCATACAATGTATATTGCTTACGAATGGTTCTCTGCTGACTTTTGCTTAGCCCATGAATTTGTTAAGCAGTATTTTCTGCTTAGTAGATCCATAAAATTGGGGTCTAGTCTGAGCTTCAAACAGTATCGACTAATCCGGCGAACATAATTACATGTAGAAGCCATTTTTAAGGTGGCACCACATCCAGGCACATGCCACACGCATTCTTAAAAGACGATTTTGGTAACCCTATTGGACGAGGGAACCCGGAGTGCGTGCGTACTACCTGAGCGCGACTCGCACGAGCCCGGTACCACCGCAGAAAATGGCTGCTGCCGGATTGGTCTGTAGACTAATGCAGCGAACAAAAGTGGCACAACACCCACGCGCATGCAACATGCGTCCTTAAAAGACGAGGCACGCGCGCATTTGATCGGAGCCCGGAGTGCGTGCGTACTACCTGAGCGCAACTCGCGCGAGCCCGGTACCACTGCAGAAAATGGCTTCTGCCGGATTGGTCTGTTGACTAATGCAGCGAACAAAATTGAAAGCCATTTTTGAGGTGGCACCACAACCACACGCATGCCACACGCGTTCTTAAAAGATGAAGCGCACATGCATTTTGGTAATCCTATTGGTCGAAGGAGCCCAGAGTGCATTGAGTATTACCTGAGCACGACTTGCACGATGCCACCTCAAAAGATGGCTGTCGCCGGGTTATTCTATTCATAAGTGAACCTGCTTCCTCATTGTATTTTTAGAATTGGTGGGTAAAATAAAATTCCCAGGTAATCGTGCGACTATCCACGTACACCATTTGACATGATGGCTAGACATGTGACGAGGAAGTTTGTGCATTTAACTTAAAAAAAAAAAATCATTCCATTCAGTTAGATTTTAAAGATTACTGTTTGTTTGCCGAGCGCTGTCCCTGGACTGCCCTTGGGTAGCATTGTCATGTTGATTGCGAGAATAAAACACAAGGAACTTGGGATTGTGTGAAAAATGTAGGGACTATCCCTCGACTTGAATGAAAAGAAAACGGTTGATATTGTTGTCTGAATAATATTATAATTTCTCACAATAGGTTTTGTACCAGGTCAGCTCTGACGGAAAATATCAAAAAAGGGGAAAAACGATGGCTTTTCCCTGTTTGTGTGCATACATGTTTATGGACACGTTTCAGGTTAAATACATACAGTAGTTAATTATTACCTGAACATATGTATTTGAATTTAATTTGTGTACTTAATAAAGTTCAATGCGTGCATTTACAGCACATGATTGTCCAAAGTTTAACGAGTTGTTATGATTGCAGCTGAGCTAGTACAGGTTTTCTCAGGGTAGTTTGCTCAGCAGCAAAGCTTCATGTATCAGGAGTACCAGTATATTTAACCCTCCTGCGACCGGGATCTGAACAGACAAAACATCAATCCTCTTCCCCTGCCATGCCTTTTACGCAGGCTAGTCACCAACAGTCAGATCATATTTCAAGCAAGCACTGTGACTAGTCAATTTCAGTCAACAGACAAAAACAGGCATGTGGTAGGCACAGCTGGCTTACATCACCTACATGTACAGTCAAAGCATAGCCGTATCAAGGTACATAAAACAGTCACAGTCAGTCAATCCTACTTTATGTAGGCTGGGAGCTCTTAACTGTTAAAAACAGTCACTTGGCACATAATGTATGTTTGCATAGGAGGGATAGTAGATTATGTTAAATTGTACCTGTTTTCTCCATTCTGGCTTCCTAGAATGACTCTCCTTGGAAAAATATTTTAAAAAATCCTGATGACAGGCACCTTTAAAGAAATGCTGAATCCTGTTTTCCATTACCACCAATTATCTTTGGATTATTTCATGTTTTGAATGAACAAAGAAAACAAATTGTTGATCACTTCAATTTCTTAGAAACCAACAATAGTAAGGCCCATTTGGCCATATATATCGCGTCATGCAATGTTGGATGCCATTTGTGCGTAGGAATTTCATCGGAATTTCAACAACGACTCGGCTATTTCATGGCGCGCTCTGAGCAGCAGTGTGATGTAATTGATGGCGCGTGTAAACGCCGCCAGACCGCAAACA